TATTTATTAACAAAATTGTAAAATTTGGTTTAGATTCGGTTCGAAACAGTTTGATTGGGTCGCTGGTTCCGGGTTTTTGTCGGTTCAATCCGGTTCAATAATCATGTTAACTTAACTTGGATTTTAGAGTTAACCCAATTCGGATTGATACCCGTTTCAACTGTTGGTATGATCCGGTTTTCAAAACATTGAAAACAGCTAGTATCCATTTTAGACGATTAAAAAAAAAAAATCATCGACAAAAATAAGCAGAAGACCAAAGAGGGAATTTTGGTCTTTTTCCTTTCTTCAGTGGCGTTGAACGTCATTTCATGATTTTGACATTATTATTTTTAGGAAATGTTAGATGTAAATAATTTTTAAAATATATCAGATTAAAATAATTAATCTATGTCAATAATATAAAAATTACTAAGTTAGTAAGTTTTATATAATAAAAATAATACTTTTGATTAAAAACTAAGAATTTTAAATATTACTATAAATTCAATTAAAATAGGAGCTTTGGCTGGGGATATAAAATAGGTAGGCAATAATGTCAAACTTTAATGATGAAGAAGATTGAGATTAATATATACTAGATTTTGACCCATACCAAACATGAGATTAAATTATTAAATATATTTTTAATTGATTTTAATATTTAAATGGGTATGACAAAATATATGATTTCTAGTATTTATAACCTTACAAAATGATATACACTGTGAATAAATGTAATCAAGTTAAATTTTAATTAAGCAAAGCCATTAGTTTTTATATTTTTCTATGCAATTGATCTAAACATATGAACATTTATTTATTTCAATATAGTTTAAGTGTAAAATTAATTTTTATTATTCATGTAAATTATAAAGCATGCAATAAATCAGATAAATTTGGCAAATATAACAAACGAAACAATATATATTTCCAATAATGAAATATGTAAATATTTATAAGTGTAGTTTTATATATATATATAATCCATTATCATAATTAAAATATTTGTATATATTATATTAATATAAATATATATATACACAATAAATAATATTGTCTCAATAAATAATAATAAAAATTTTTTTAATATAAAAAATAGATCATATGGTAAATATAAGTATTACATTTAGTTGGATTTAGATTTGTAAAACATATATTAATGAGATTATGTTACAAAATTAATAAGAATATGTATAGATTTCCACCATAACATATAATTTTAGTTGAAATGTTTTTATTAG